TTCCTGTTTTCTGTATCCAATTAAGTTAACTCAAACTTTCATTATTAAAGAAATACGCAATCCTCTGCATTAAAATAACTAAAGATGCAACACAGTGACTTTTATATATGTGTGTGTGTGTATACAGATATACACACACTATGCAAATGCTGTCATTCATCTCTAACTGATCTTCAAGATCCATATAGACCTCTCAGACTACTTTTATAAAGTGCAAATCTAGAGAGCTGAACATAGTTCTGCTACTTTATAAATCCTCAAGTATTTATTTAGAACCTTGAACTTTGAAAAGCATTCAGCTATCAAATGAGAATACCAATATCAAAGGGGAAAAGAGGGGCTTCCCGGGTGGCGCAGTGGTTGAGAGTTCACCTGCTGATGCAGGGGACATGGGTTCGTGCCTCAGTCCGGGAAGATCCCACGTGCCGTGGAGCGGCTAGGCCCGTGAGCCATGGCCGCTGAGCCTGGGCGTCCGGAGCCTGTGCTCCGCAACGGGAGAGGCCACAGCAGTGAGACGCCCATGTACCGCAAAAAAAAAAAAGGGGGGGGGGAAGAAAAAAACTCAAAAAAGAGGGGGACTTCCCTGGTGGTCCAGTGGTAAAGAATCTGCCTTCCAATGCAAGGGACACGGGTTCGATCCCTGGTCAGGGAACTAAGATCCCACATGCCACGGGGCAACTAAGCCTGCAGGCCACAACTGCTGAGTTCATGCACCTCAATGAGAGAGCCCACCTGCCGCAAACTACAGAGCCCACGCGCCCTGGAGCCTGCACACCACAACTACAGAAGAGAAAACCCACACGCCTCAACAAACATCCTGCGTGCCTCAACTAAGACCCAACGCAGCCAAATAAACAAACTAATTAATTAATAACTTTTAAAAAAGACATTACTCCACTGGATACACTCATTCATAAGTTTGTATACCATCACTTCATCCACCTCATACTCTTCAGACCTTGTGACTGCTACTGGTAACTGACCGAGAAACAAAAGTTGGCTTCACACTGTAAAGCCTTATAGCCCAGCAATCTATCACTAACAAAGAAAATAGGGCAGTTTGATATAGCTTACTTCCAAACTCTATTACAGGAATGAACTCAAACTTAGAACACTAACCTACTTCTGAAATTCCCAAAATGCAAATAAGATTAATTTTAAATGTCATAATTAAAATCACAAATTAAAATTTAATCTACATAAGCTGACTGTAAATTTCACATTCTTTCCAAACTAGCAATGCTGAATGTTAAAATGATCATCAATGAGAATTCAATATAACTTCACATTCCATGTTATATAAAAAGAAATATTACAACATAAATATACTATGTAAGTATCATCATCTAGTTTGGAAGAGAAAATACTTAGTTTTCTTTAGCATCTGGTGTTTTGTTGAGAAAAGAAAAAAAGTCCAAATTTTAGAATAAACAAACCAAATTATCTTTTAGCATTTCAAAATCATATTCTAACATGCTGGATTGTATCAGGGTGACATTCTTTGCCATGCATTTTAATGCCCATCAAGCCTGGAGGGGTAGGAGGAGGAGTGGACATTATCTGCCTAACAATAATGGATCAATCAGTGGTGTGCGCTCCAGGTATAAGCAGCAGCACTCTTATTGGTATGAACATAATATATCAAAAATATCAACCTCTATTTCTAGAAGAAAAACAGGCACTCACGGTGCTTCAAAAATTATCTGTATACACATACACAAACACACAAAATTCTGTTCACTTTCCTTTATCAAAAAAATAATTTTAAAAATATCTAGTAAAGAAACCTCCTTAGATAACTGAAGCTAATGCTTCAGTTCAGTTAAAAAGGGCCGTGAACTCCTGTTAAACATACATTGAAAGCTGTGGGTCTTCTCCCCAGAAAAACACAAATTTACACAGAATTCAGACTCTTGGAAGACCATTTATGGACACATCCACAGATCCAGGTTAAGAACCACAGACAAAGTAGAAATTTTCTCAAGGTCCCTTTGACCCTCTTCCATAATTTTACCTCTGACTCACAAGAACGAACTAAATTATTCATAACCAGACAATGAACTCCCTTGTACAGCCAACCCTTAAAAAAAGAAGTTTGACAGTACTTACATAAGCAGTATTCAACAGAAAATAAACTACACTGGCAACATTTTGAAATATAGCATGTGACTAATGATACTGATAAATATGATAGTGCATTACAGTTTATAAAATGACTTCACATTATAAAAATGAATATTTTTACCCCCTTTTACAGCTAAGGAAATAGAGGTTCAGAAAATAACTTGACAGAGTCACAGAGCCAACAACTGAAGAGCTGGTATTGTAATCCAGAGTTGCCTAGTTCCAGAACTGAGCTCAATATGTTATTATATCCTGATGCTTCCACAAGAGCCCCTCACACAAAGAAAATAGATTTTTTTTAAAAAAGCCTAATGGGTCACATTTTAGTGTAGTTGTATCTTGAATACTGACATCAATTTTCTTAAAAAAGTATATTTCAAATGTTCCATTTCCTCTTGCTTCATTGGTTTACATAAAACATGTTTTTCAGAAAAGTGAAGAAACTCTCAAGCTAATGAGTTTCAGGACTGAAAAATATGGCATTTTCTTATTCTACAAAGCATTTCTTCTCCCTCAACTCTTTAGTTCTTAATACACAAAAATAAATGACTCTTTGTTGAAAATTCAAATATAAGAAACCAGTTTAAATATCCAATGTTTTAAAACACAAAAGCTATCTGAAATTAATTTTTAGGACGTTCAAAATAGCCCCTTTAATCTTTTCAAAATGACAAACCCATTTTCAGTTCTCTACAACTCTTAAAAGAGTTCTTGAGTTTTTGAAAAAGGGTCATTTGTCTAATCCCACAGAATGTACAACACCAAGAGTGAACCTTCATGTAAACTCTGGACTTTGGGTGATGTATCAATGCAGGTTCATCGAGTGTAACAAATGTACCATTCTGGTGTGGGGATTTTGTTAGGGGAGACTGTGCATACATGGGGCAAGGCAGGGGGCATATGAAATCTGCACCTCCCACTTAAATTTGCTACGGGTCTTCCCTGGTAGCGCAGTGGTTGAGAGTCCGCTTGCCGATGCAGGGGACACGGGTTCGTGCCCCGGTCCGGGAAGATTCCACATGCCATGGAGCGGCTAGGCCCGTGAGCCATGCCCGGTGAGCCTGCATGTCCGGAGCCTGTGCTCCACAACGGGAGAGGCCACAACAGTGAGAGGCCCGCGTACCGCAAAAAAAAAAAAAAAAAAAAAAAATTTGCTATGAACCTAAAACTGCTCTAAATATAAACTATTTTGATAAATGGTGTGGGGGGGTCTAATTTATCTACTTCACTTTCTTCTTAACAAATGAGGAAATAGTATTTTTTAAAATTGCCCTCACTGGCTGTGAATTAAATTTCCTGCCAGGATACAGAATGTGCAATTATTACAGAATATATTACCATCTTAGAAAATAATAGTAATCTTATCAAATGCTGAAAGAATTAACAGCTTTAACTGTTAACATGATGAAGCTAAATGCAATAGAGTATGGTATCCTAAGATTTCTTTTGATATTTATACTCTTCGTATCTTAAGGGCGATATACAAAGTGACTGAAAGTTTGAAGTAGGTCATGGGTTGACTGACAAACTAAAGTGGGTGCCCCTAGGAAGGAGGAGGAAAAGCAGCAGCCAATGAAAAAAGCCACCGCCAAGTAGAGAGATCCTCTGCTTACCCAAGTCTACCCTCTGGCAGGATTCAAGACTCGAGGGAGGTGGAGGAAAAGGATTTCCTCATAGAACGAAAATGAGGAACACCAAGGGTCAGCAAGTATCAACCTACACAGGAAAAAAAACAATGCAAAGAAAACAAAGAAAAAAAACGTGCAACGAGCAGATAAAATACCTGTGTCGAACCAGTTTCTTTCAAGAACTTTCTCCCAAAGTGGTAACATTAGCATAAGGTAAAGGGCCAAACGTAGTTATGCTATTAATGCAGATTAGAAGGAATACTGAGAAAAGTTCAATTTTCTACAAAAAGTCATCCGATCCAACACTGCCAAGTGCGAAAACATATAAAAAGCTTTTCAAACTCAGGCACCCAAACACTAGGACAGTGCGAATCCAGTAAAGGACCAGCCCCGGGCTAGAAAACTCGAGCAAGTAGATAAATCGCCTCCCGCAGGAAACCAGCAAGCTAAGCCCAGAACTGAGAGAAAGGAGGAGAGAGCAGGCATCCGCGACTGTAAAACAACTCCATTGAGCAGCTGCGTGTTTTGAAAGAGGCTGCAGTTTCTGGTGTCTCACCGGGAGGCACTCTTCGATCCGGTCTCCACCCCCGCGGATGGTCCACCGGGCGCGGGCTGCAAGCCCCCAGCACCAGGCAGTCCGATCCTCAGCGAGCCCCGCGGACCGGCCAGTTCCGACGTGCCACGAACCCCTCAGGCGGGCCAGTCCCAGAGGAGCGGCTAACCCTCCGGGAGGGCAGCAAGCCCCCGGAGCGAGCATCCCGGACAGCGGTTAACCCCCGGCGGGCCGCGCGTCCGGCGCCGCAGGGCCCGGAGTCAGCCTGCCTGCCCCACCCCCACAGGCCGCGGGTCCCAGGGGTGTAGGGCCGCCCTCCCCGGACCCCGAACCCGTGCCCGCCGCACCGCACTGCTCATGCCCGGGACCCCCGAGAACCACCTGCTTGCCCCTCTCTTCTTCGAAAGACCCAGAGGAGCGAGCCAGGGGGCCGCTGGCTAGGCTGACAGAGCCAGAGACTGGGGTTTCCCTCGGGGAACGCGACCCCGTGGGAGCCACAGAAACCGTGCAGCGGTTTAATGGGCCCAAACCCTATCAGCTGTGGAGTTTGGGTTACTGCGCGCAGGGCTGGAGTTTCCCCGCGCCGCAGGCACGAGCCCGGGCGGCGCTACGATTTGGGGTAGGGAGGACTTGGCAGGAGGGGACAGCACCGCACAAAGGAAGAGGGGAGTGAGGCGGAACGAGCGTCCGGTTACCTCAGTCCTCTGCTCGTCCCTCCGCTTGGTTCCTCCCGGCCTCGCCAAGGATGCAGGCGCGCTATCAGGTTCCCGCAGCCCCGAGCAGCGCCTTACCAGCCCCAAGCGAGAACCCGACGGACGCGCGCTCTGTTGCGCGGCCTCGCCGAGCCCAGCCGGTGCCTGGCGTCCTCTCGCCCGCGCCTGCGCACAGCACTCTGGGAAGTGTGGTTTCCAATTACCTCCTCCGGTGGTCCGCCCCCGCCCCACGTGCTCTCCGAGCCCAGCTCCGCTTGGGTAGCTGGAGTTTTCACCCGACTGGGAGCGTTTTCCTGCCGGATGCTGACGGGCCAGGGCCTAGCGGACGTCCCCAAAACACATTTTTAGATAGGCCATGGCATAAATACCTGTGGAGTTACCCGTTTCTTCACTTCTGTGGCAGTACTGTAAGTCCCCTCCTGATCATGGTGAGGGTTCTTAGGGTTTATGTCTCTAAAAAAAAAAAGGGAAAAAATGGCTTCTACTTTTATTACTGTCAGTTTCTCCACAGGCTCTACAAAGGATACATAAAACAGCTGGTGTTTATAAGCACATAACCACAGTTTATAAGCCCACGGAAGCCGTTGATTGACCTAAGCACTCGCTGCTAACAACCATTGCAAGTAAAAATGATGCTGAAATAAACTGATTTTTCGATAAAGTCAATGAAATGGAGGAGGAGGGGGATAATGAGAGAGCAAAGAAAAAACTTTGAAGAAGGATATTCCCCGAAATGTGTCTTTTGTTAGAGCAACCTCTAGCTTTCACAACCCTAGGAATCTGTTTCAGAATAAATTCAGTCCTAGGTACATTTATAAATATTAACACATAGGTTTGGATTGATTTTGCTAGAAAAGAGTTTTTTTTTTTAACATTAGCATCTTATGTAAAAGCCCCAAAATGACTTTGAAATTTCGTTTCTAGGGGAAAAAAATCACTTTTATTTTTTTAAATAGCAGAAATAGAAATAAATCTTAATACTTCAGAATATTTCTCTTCAGAACATTATATTTTTCAAATTTAATGTAAATACATTTTGAAAAATAGAGCAAGACCAGTTTTACACACACACACACAAATTGTAAAATTTGTCTGGAAGCATGATGTAATACTATATATTTAATAAGACCATGTTCTAATAGAATTTTTTTATAATCTGAACTTCTTTTTAATTGCATGTGCAGTATCTTCTAAAAAATGCTTATAGAACAGAACTGCTCTTTTTCCTCTGCTAATTGACAAATACCAAACTACTTGTAGTTACTAACAACATCAAAGAAATATACACAATATTTCAATATTGTTACCATTTATTTTTTCAAAAATATTTAGTGAGCACCTACTATATGCCAGACACTGAGTTAGGAACTGGGAGATACACAGTGAACAAAACCAAATAGTCCCTGCCCTTGTGGAGACTTAAGATCTAGTGGAGGAGACGGACTAAACAGATAATGAGAAATAAAAAGGTATGCAGAGGGTGGCAAGGGGAGTGGGGAACATATAAGGTATACCAATATAGAGCTTTTTGTTGGGAGAGGGGAGTCAGGCAAAAATTCTGAAAGTTAAATGAAATTCTCAAACCAAATAACAATAAACTGGGGGTGGGGAATCCTTCCCTAAAATGTGATATATCCACAACAATGCTCTCAAATAAAAATAAATAAAAATAAAATCTTACAAAATAAATAAAAATAAAATCTTACAAAACAAGATACATCTTGATAGGATTCAGAACATGCTACCCCAAAATATGGCACCTTGTAATACTGAATATCTTAAACTGAAAGAATTTGAGAAAACAGAAGCAGGAAGGTCACTCTTCATTCCCGCCTCACTCTTCTTCCCCGAAACAGGTCATCAAACTCCCATATAAAAAGTATCCTCTCTATACCAGGAGTAAAGAAGACATTTATACTGCCAGAGATGGAATTTAGGGCCGAGAAGTCTGTATAAACATACATAAGATAAACTAACCCTTATCTTCCTAGTTACTTCTTCACCACTTACCCTAGCCCAAACACCACTGTCTTGTCAATTCTTCACACACTTATTGTTTGTCTAAAAGCTTCTTGCTCAGGTCACTTCTTTGCGTCTTCATTCTCTTGAATGTACATGAAGTCTCCCACATACCCGTAAAAATTCAGTAAAATGTGTATGCTTTTATCCTGTTCATCTGTCTTTGTCCGTTTAGTTTTCAGAGGTAGACAGAGACCCTAGGAGAGTCAAGGATAACTTCTTCCTCTGCTACAACCTCAGTGAAAGAAAAGAACACACATTTCCTAAATATGACAAAGATATCTTCTTAGCTTTTATTCATTCTTCCCTAGCTCCATTTGAGAATAAACAGGACTAGCCTTAATAAGTAAGGACCTTTCATTAGAGACCCCTTACCTTCCCTAAAGTTCCATAAATTAAAATTGGTAAAGATCTGATATCTGTTGGCTCACTGTCTGTTTGTTGTACTTTGGTCCAAATAAATTGCAATGTTTTAACCTCAATTGACATTTGCATTTTAAGTCTTTATCTCTAATCCTGGAATAAAAGGCTTTATACAATCTCCAAAAGAATTTCAAATGGGGCCTGCCAAGGGATTTGGAAAGACTAATGAAGGGGACCATTTTATTTTCATTTGCAGTGGAGGCAAAGCTTTCAGTCAGTGGGCAGTCCCTTGGACAGCTGCCTGCCTATGAAAATTTCCTTAAAGAGTCTGAACAAGAAAGACCACCCCTCCTGTCCAGGTCAGAGTCACTGGTTTGCAATTACCTTTCTTCCCACTCCTCAACTCCCATTTTATCATCCTCCTCCTCAGCCAACTGCCAGCTTCATCTTCCCTTAACAATCACTTCCTGCCTTCTGCCCCATGATATACTGGATGGCTGCATTTTCTGGCCTCACCCTAGTGGCCTGACTTAACCTATTTTAGTTACTTTATGATAGTTCTTCCATCCATTACCCTTGCCATTAATCTGACACAGGTATCTCTAAGCCTTTGTTGACCATTTTTCACTCTCATCTCTGAAATACTTAAATTTCCCTAATTTCTCTCTGGGCCTTTGTAATTGCTATGCCTTCTCCCTCTTTGCCTGGTTAACTCCTACTCGCCAACCAACATCAACCTAGTTACCGTTTTCATCAGGAAGTCTATCCCGGTTACAGTTCCCCTCCTCTCTAATGCTTCCTGTACATGCTCACATTAATGCTTCCTGTACATGCTCACATTACAACCTGTTTTTGCAACCTCAGGTAGCACATGTCAGTGAGCATTTTAGTTAGATATCTATTCTTTCATTTGTCTGAAAAGTTCTTAAATAGAAAGTAGGAGCACAGTACTTGATATGAGGTGGCTGATTAACAAATACTTGGGAAATAAACGAATGCATATCAACTTTGTGCAGTAAAGAAGGACCCAACAAATATTTTCTGTGAAGAAAATATTTTAGGCTTGCGGACCTTCAGGTCTCCGTTGCAACTATTCAACTCTGCTTCTTAAAGCATGATGGCTAATTCTCACTGGTGCCTCCAGAGTATCTATATAACAGGGAATTTGAGTTAAAGATTTGAATGGACGTAGTGGGGCTGCAGCGTTGACCAGAGGACAGTACTTGAGGATATGTTTACATAGCAGGTACACTGTTCTTGTTTAGAGTGATTATTTATTTTGGGTAGTTTGGGGGCAGGTCAGTAGATGGAGCTAAATCAGAAGGCATCCTTGGTATAGCCACTGCTAGTTAAGGTTGTGCACTAAATTATTTCTTTGGAAAATTACCTGTTGTGTTGGTGAGTTTTTAAAACGTATCATTTAATTCAGGTTTGCTTTTTCCCCCTCCACTTTTAACATTTCACTTTGGCTATTCCATCCTGCCCAAGTTAAATCACTTTCCATTTCCCATGAACCTGCCTAGACATGGTTGAACTTTCAAGTTGCCTTTGTGGGAGCTGTGGAATCTTCTCTCCAGCAATATGTGACATAACAGGATGAGAGCATTTTGCCTCTATCCCTACCACACTCCAGAAGTCTCCTGACTTTAATTATTAGAAAAACCCATTTAGAGAAACTTTGTTTTGCAACGTTTGAAATGTGTGCAATACACTTCTGAGCAAAGTTGTATCCATATGTATGGTAGAAAGCCGTACAGTGATACAAATATAATTGTGTTTCAATTCCAATACTATTCCAAATGTATGATCTCTATGAAAACTACTGTAGATCTATATTACATTAGCTTTCTGATATCATCTTCACATTCTCAAAGAAATTCTATCCCTCAAAGTTTTCTTTTTTTTTTTTTGAATTTTTAAAATTACAGTGCAGAATGGCAGATACTGCTAGTTCCTAAACAGTATCTTCCTGCCTTCTTCATTAATGAAAGAACCCCAGTTTTTTTGAAGGGATGACTAGGTACCTGTACTAGGTACACTTGTACTAGCTAACAAATTATTTGTCACGCTCCCTGACAAAGTTCTATTCATAAGGTGTAAGTACAAGTGTTGCGTGGGACTTTAGGGATGGCTGCTCAAAGGGAATTGATTCAGCTGGAAGGTTCCTCTCTTATCCTTCTTTCTTCCTGGAAATAATGGCTTGAGTTTTAGCAGCCACCTTGGACTATGAGGTTATTTGAGGGTGAAAGTCATGTACAGGATGATGGAAGAATGACAGAAAGAGCCTAGGTCCCTCATGACCACTGAGCCACGAAAATAGTCCTACTACAAGCCTTCCAGTGTTAGAACTTCCAGTTGTGAAAAGGATAATATTTGTATGTGATAAACAAAATGTGGCTGCTTCTAAATTTTAGAACTGGCAAAGTGGACTGCCCAGGCTTGCGGGCTTTCTTTCCTTATTAATTAACAATTTAGGACTGTTCTTTCACTGGGCCAGTGGAGAAGGAAGAACAATAGTCAGGAGACAGGAAGAGATCAGCAGGTGAAAACCATTGATTGAAAGAGATAAACCAGGGTTGAGTAATCAGATAGGGTGTGTGAATTTCTTTCACTAGGCCTTGACAATTCTGCATAGAAACCTTAATACTTTGAGGTTATCATGTTGCAACCTTGTGATGATGGTGTAATTTTCCCCTAAATGGTTACAGGCTGTCCTGTAACCACAGAC